GGTTTTGGAGCCAACTGTTTATCTGACTGCCTTTACCTTCAGATGTTTCCAATCAGCACAGAGAAAGGAGGGTTAAAGATCAAAGGTTAAAAAAAAAGCTCTACTAGTCCTGCCATGTGATGGTTCATGTTTGTAAATTCTAGCTACTCAGGAGGCTGAGATCAGGAATATTATGGTTTGGTTGAAAGCCAGCTAGGAAAGCTCAGGAGACCCTATCCCCCCGTCCTCTAATAAAACCATTGCACCTGTCATCCCAGTTATGTGAGAAACAAATAGGAAGATGGTGGTTCAGGCTGGCCTAGGCAAAACTATGGGGCTGTATTTAAAAATAACAAAAGCAAAAGGGTTGGAAGTATAGCTCAAATGACAGAACACCTGCCTAGCAAGCATGGTGCTCTGAGTTCAAACTCTAGTACTACCAAAAAAAGATCATGGAACAAATGTTTGTTTCCAGTCCTTCAAGAGTTAATGAAAACAATGAGCCCCCCATCCCCCACCACCTTAAATTTCTATTTCATTGTTGCTTCCTAACGTGGATCTAGCTCAGACTCTGCCACCACAGGCAGGATACTTCATCTCTGTGCTTTCAGGCCCTAATCTTTACAAGGTGAGTTCAATAGACCTGGGTTTTAACATCAAGTTTCATAGATGGACATTAGACGCATATGAACCCTTTATAAATTCGAGCACTGATTGCATTCCAGAAGAGAACTGTAGTGGGGGGGGATTCTAAAGAGGGAGAGAAAGACAGAGACAGAGAGAGATATACATAGACAGAGATTATAGTTGTATATACTCTACTTTGCATCTTTTGAATTTCAAACCAAAGGGATGTATTATCCCCTCAAAAAAAAAAAAAAAGATATGGGGCTTGGAAGGTAGCTCAGTGGTAGGGTGCTTGTCTTGCACGCATGAGGCTCTGGGCTCAATTACTCAGCACCACATAAGCAGAAAAAACTGGAAGTGGTTCTGTGGTAGAGTGCTAGCCTTGAGCTGAAGAGCTAAAGGACAACACTCAGGCCCAGAGTTCAAGCCCCATGATCAGAAAAAAAAAAACAAAAACAAAAACATAGATATAATATATATATATGGTATTAAAAACCAAGCATGAGTGGCTCATGTCTATAACCCTAGCTACTTAGGAGGCTGAGACCTGAGGACTGAAGCTTGAAGCCAACCAGAAAAGTCCAAGAGACTCTTATCTGCAATTAAGCAAAAAAGCACAAGTGTGGCTATGGCTCAAGTGGCTCAAGGACAGTAGTGAGGTTTTGAGTTCTGTGCCCCAGGTCTGCCATGAAAAAAAAAAGTGTATTAAGGAAATAAAATGTATGCAAATTCATATCTGCATTTTCTTGGGCAAGATCCAGAATTCTTGTTAGAATTTCTTCAGTTACCTAAATCCCAAAAAGGTTTAGAAAACATTTCACTAAATGACCTTAAAGGTTATTCCTATATTTGATGAAAGTGAGTTTCAGTACTCACCCCCATCAGCCAGCCTGGAGAAAGACACCTGGAATCTTACCATGTAGGACTAGATAAAGTGAGCTGTTTTGCTGATGGATCGTGCATGATTCTGCCTTCAGAAATCCAGGTCAAGCCGGGCGCTGGTGGCTCACGCCTGTAATCCTAGCTACTCAGGAGGCTGAGATCTGAGGATCGAGGTTCAAAGCCAGCCCAGGCAGGAAAGACCGTGAGACTCCTATCTCAAAAAAACCACCAGAAAACAGGAAGTGGCGCTGTAGCTCAAGTGGTAGAGCGCTCGCCTTGAGCTGAAGAGCTGAGGCCCCACGACCCGACCAAAAAAAAAAAAAAAAAAAAAAAAGAAATCCAGGTCAAGAAATGGCTCCCATCAGCTTAATCTCTCAAAATTGCTGATCAATGAACTCATTGCCCTAACCTATATCCCTTTAAAGGCAATCCAGCTAGGATTAGGCACATGAGAATGCATATAAATAATCATACTACAGGTTTTAAAATGTTAGCTACTTTGGCTCTGATGAGGGAACAGGAAGATGGGATGAGGAGATGGATGAGGCCTAGGTGCATCCAGACATCTGGCTTGGAATCTCTCTGCTTTTTGGATTTTGTTGTTGTTGTTTTGAATTTTTTGTGTGCCACTACTAGATTCTGAACTCAGGGGATTTTTGGCTTTTTGGCTCAAGGCTGTCACTTCTACCACTTGAACCATACCTCCACTTTCAGTATTTTGCTGGTTAATAAAAGATAATGGGGGGCTGGGAAGATGGCTCAGTGGTAGAGCGCTTGCCTTGCATGCCTGAGGCCCTGGGTTGGATTCCTCAGCACCACATAAGCAAAATGAAAAAAGCCGGAAGTGGCGCTGTGGCTCAAGTGGTAGAGTGCTAGCCTTGAGCTCAAGAGCTGAGGGACAGCGCCCAGGCCCAGAGTTCAGGCCCCATGACCGGACCCCCCCCCAAAAAAAAAAGATAATGGGTCTCTCAGATTTGTCTGCCCAGGCTGGCTTTGAACCTGGATCCTCAGCTCTCAGCCTTTTGAGTAATTAGGATTACAGGTGTGAGCCACCAGCACCTGGCTGGATCTGAATCTCTGAAGTACACAGGAATCCTTACCGGTACCAGAAAGGGAAAGTGCTTGCTAGATGTCTAACCTGAATGCTTCAGGGAAGGGAGTATGTAGTAGAGGACTACAAGACTGAACAAAGCAACCAGGCTAGCATCTGAAAATGAGCCAATCAAAGGGAAAGGTCAATCACATGACTCCCTCACCTCACCATCTCCCCCCCCCCAAAAAGGGGGGGAGGGGGAAGCTACCATTTAACAAAAAGCCTGGGGCTATGGTAAACTTTAATTAACTGCCCCATTATAATTCACTTCCAGCCTAGGTTCCACCCCAACTGCTCTATTTTCTGTCCGGTTCTCTCCTCCTCTCCCCTAGGTCTGTCAAGTCAGACTTCCTTAGATAACCAAACTGGCCTCTTTTGCTGGATGCCTCCAGCTAATAATAGCACCAGGCAACAAGCAGGAGAGAAAACTACACTGTGTTCAGCTTTTAATAATAGGCCCCCTCACTTACCTAGGTGCACCAGTAATGAAGGGTCTTGTAATCCTCAGAGTCCTGAATATAATACCAATGCAATGAAGAGACATGCGCACACAAGTGGCAGATAACAGGGCAGGCTCCCAATCCGAGCCACTAGACACTACTCATCAGGTCCACACCCAGGCAGGTAATCCACACATCTAAGTTCATATTCACACCTTCCTTCAGGGGTGGTTAAATTATACCCCTGACTCTCTCCATCTTGTCTTTGCAGGCTGCTGAGCCTTACCCATTTCAAGAGTATATGCTTTGGGAGTGGGGGTTGGGAACACCTTCAAGGATTTTCCAGGCAGAACATCCTCTGTTTTTATTAATGAGCTCATGAGAAAAGCCAACCCAGACCTTTAAGTGAAATGTGTGATTGGTAGCCCGGAGAGGATGGGTTTTAGAATTAACTCTTCCTGCAGTCTGCTATGCATTATCACCCCAAGTTAATTACCCCTGAGGATGAAAATAGGTTTCATGACTCACAAGCACCAATACAAGACTTGGCAGCCGATGAAAATGCAAGGACACATTTGCAGGAAGCTGACATGAATTTCTATTTATATGTGGGGAGATTCTTAACAGAGGTGAGACAGGCGCCTCCCATGAACCAGGATTAAGAGGATGCAGCGGATCCATCCCTACTACCATGGATCCACATCCCCTTGGTCCCCACACACACCAAATACACACCGAGACCCGGTTTCCACTTCACAATGGCGGTGACTAAACAGGAACAGAAACTAAAAGGGTTATTTAACAGCAAGTCTCAACATTCACCCAACCTCCACTCCGGTGTTTAGGACTAACCAGTGATTTGTCGGCCCCAAACGTGCCTGCACCCATTACCCACCTCCCCCGCTCCGACGATGGGAGTCGGGTGAGGGGTACCCAAGTTTCCCCACTCATTCTTCAGCCTCGGCCCCGCAGTTCCAGCCCCGGTTCGCCCCGCCCAGGAATGGGGTGTGGCCAGGAATGAATTTCAGATAGGATCCCCGCGTTTTGTTTTGCTTCCTCCCTTCGGTTTTCTAGCCTTCCTTCTCACTCAGCCTCCAAGAAAGTACAAGGTTCAAGCCTGGTTTGTTTGCTTAGCTCTGGAAGGGCTAAGTCTCTTTCGCAACCAGCACACTCTTCTCAATGCCGCCAAAGTGCTGAAGGACTGCATCTCTCCGACTGTAGAAGAGATTCTGTTTGGCCTCCGAGCTTTGCTGCAGGAACTGGGTTTTGGTTTCTTTACTCCTCTCCCGCATCCCTCCAAACCTGCTCTCATTCACTATGTGTTCTGTCCTTAGAAACACTAAATTTAGTGGGGGGGGGGGGAGGCGTGTCATGAATGAGACAAAAAGTGGTTGTTCCAAAACTTTAGCAGGGCACCCCTGGGACCCTGTGGGCCAAGAACAAGCATTTGCCACCCAGTTGCCCACACCCTTCCCTGTCTCCCCCCCCCACTCAGCACTCAGCTCTGTGGGTACTTTGGTTTTAAATGATCAATAACAGCGAATTCTGCTATGTAGAAGAGGCAGAGCACCTTAGTTTTTTTGTTTTTTGTTTCCCTAGCTTCATGTCCACACCCCCAGTCACAGCTGAATTGGGCATCAGCATAAACTCAGAGCCCCAGGGTGAGAGACACGGAAAAGCATTCCTGACAATGCCATTTGCAGCTGGGCCCCACATCCGGGTGGGAAGAGAGATGCTGAAGAGTAAACAGAAATCGCTTAGTCAGCAACTGTCGGCTTCCCCAAGAGGTGAATGTAAATAGCCTGGTACCCAGGGGGGCGGGGCAGCCAGCAGCACAGGGCCTCCCAGGCTGGCCAGCAAGTGAAGCTTTCAAAGGCTCCAGCATTCCTCTTCCAGGTTGGAGGGAGGGAGTTGTCCCTTCTACTTGAAGTTGTGTAGACTTAGTCCTAGAAAGACAGACTTGCTGACTCAGGGCAGAATTAATATCAATTGAATTTATTACAAGTTACTAAGCTCCAAGGCACATTACAGTGTTCTGTTAACTACAGAAATGTATAAAGGACAAACAGAGCAGGTTCTCCATGTCTAGCATTTCGCTCTACTGTTCAAAAGCATCCGTGCATCAATAAAGCAAAAAACAAAACAACACGTGAAGATCCAACACATTCAGGTCAGTAGAAACAAACCAAAACATTTCCCCCTTCACAAACTTGCAACAAAAAAACACCCGGGCCCTCCCCCAACATCCCCCTATACCATTTTGCAAACAAAACAGGAAAACAAAACAGAACAGAACACAAAATTAAGTGAAGACCTCAACACTTGGGGCTGTTTAGAAAGAAGCTTTCACCATTTTATAGCATCATCATTAATATTATTAATTTTTTTTTAGGCAGCAACACTGGCCTTGGCAAAACAAAACAACAAAAAAAGTCTTTTTCTTTCATGTGTGTTTTTCCTTTCAGAGTGCATAACATTTACAAAAATACACACCAGCAGCAGTGGTTGCTAAGGGCTATTAATTCTGTACCTAGGCAAACATTCTGCCACCAAGTAAATGCTAACGATTATGATGCGAATAACCCAACCAATATTATACTGCTTAACACAAACCAGCTTATCCTTCAAATGAAGAAGTTACATACCTTTGTTCCAAAATATAGAAACATACGACGAAAATAATGTCTATACATAAGACTAACTTTTTGCAGTTTGTTATATTCACAATTCTACATCTTGGAGGGGTGGAGAAAGGGAAGGGGAGGGGCGTGGGGGTGGGGCGCTCTGGATGGGAGAGGAACTGGTCTAGGGCAAAGTAGGTGGTGGCCCTGTGGTTCAAGGGTCTCTTTCCTTTTTCACTTTAACATCCCCAGCTAAGATAGTCGCGATTTCGCCCTGCATGAAGGCCCAAGGTACATTCGACCCAACTAGGGGGCATTTCTCTCCGCTGGGACAATACACCTCGCCAGTGGCCCCTTGGGCCTTGATACTCTCTCTAGAACAAGGGAAGCAGAATTTGTGGCTAGGGACGGAGGGGCACTGAACGAAATGCGTGTCCTCCAAACGTTCGTGGCAAATGGTACAGCAGAGGGGTCCGCTGTTGGCCATAGGGGAATCCGGAATGTTTTGGGGGTGCACTTGGTCCATGCCCGGGTGGGCATTAGGTGGTGGGGGAGCCACCTGTAAATTCAGGTCCCCGTTACGTGACGCCAAGCGGCGCTGCCCGGGCACGGAGGCAGGCGACACTGGACTACTGCTGTTGCGCCGGGCGGACGCCGTGGTAGAGTGCACGGAGCTGCCGTCCTTGGGCGAGTGCGCCGTGCCCAGAGTGTCTGCCACCGACATGAGGGCGGCCATCGGGGACGGCCCGTTCTGGGGGGCTGACTCCGGCGGGGTGGTCCTGTTGGAATGGGGTCCCAGGGGCGGGGGCGGCGGCGGCGGCCCCCCTGCGGCGTGGCCCGGCGCCGCAAAGCCCCCCGCCGACATGGTGAGCTTCAGGGCCTCGCTCTGGTTGGCCATCCACTGCTGCCTCTGCTGTTCCTCGCCCAGCTTCAGCGCGCCCTCGGCCGAGTCCGGGGGCTCGGGGGATGCCTTCCTCTTGCGCAGACTGGCGGCTGCACCCCGGCCCGAGGGCGCGGCAGGTGGCAGGGCCCCAGTGCCTGGAGGCGCGCTGGGGGCGCGGCTGAGGCTCACCAGCGCGGTAGGCAGCATGGGGCAACTGGCGTCCAGGTAGGGCTGGGGCAGCATGTCAGCGCCTGGCACGCCCTCCTTGAAGAAGCGCACAGCCTCGGGCAGCAGGTCCCCAAGCAAGCGCCAGTCCCCGGAGCCATGCTTCTTCTCGTACTCCAGGTACTTGAAGCCAGAGGAGAGGCCCCGACCGAAGTCCTTCATGCAGTCCTGGTACATCTGCTTGGCCACCCCGGACGCACTGGAGTACACGTTGCCCGAGCCCGTGGGATATTCAATGAACAGCTTCAGCTCGTAGTCCATGCCGGGCTTGGAGACGGCGTCGAAGGCGAACACGCGGCCCAGCAGCGAGTGGTCCTTCTTGAAGCGCACCTCGTAGGGCGTGCAGCCGGCCAGCGTGAGCAGCGTGTCCCGCACCATCTTGGGCTTGTTGGCCCACTCCTCCGCGCGGTTCCGCATGCTCTCGCTCAGCTCCGCCAGGGCCTCGGCGTTGCGCTGCTTCTCCTTCAGCTCGCGCTCCTGATCCGTGCTCGACACCGAGCCGGGCCTCTTCCCACCGGCACCCACGCCCACCTCGGCCACCGACGACGAGGTGGAAGACGCCGCCGCCGAGGACGCAGTAGCCGTAGCGCCTGGGGCGCCCCCGAGACAAGCAGGGCCCCCGGGAGCTCCGGGGGGCGCGGGCGTCGGGGGACCGCGGCTGCCCAGCCCGTGGGGCGGGGGTGGGGGCAATACCGCGGCGCTGGCTGGGCCGTTAAGCAGCGTCTGCGGCAGCAGGTTCGGGGGCACGGTCAGCTGGGGGCCCCCGCCACCCCCTGGGTTGGGCAACCCTGTCACCAACCCACCATGCGTCCCACGCCGAGACGCCACCGAGGCCGCCGCCGAGGACGAGTTGGGGCTCTGGCGGTTCAGTTCCGGGGGCCCCTCCTCGGGGGTTGACTTGGGGAAGCCATTTGGGCCCCCCAGGCCGTTGGGCAGCCGCGCGGCGTGGCTGCTGCTCCCCAGGCTCACCGGCGGCGGCGGGTACTCGAACCGGCTTCGCTGTTCCACGGCAGCGGCGGCGGCAGCAGCAGCGGCAGCGGCTGCGCTCAGGCCGTAGCGCTCCAGGCCGGACGGGGCCGCCAGCACCGCAGGCTTGCTGGAACCATCGACGTGGTTGAGCTGTTGTTGTTGCTGCTGCTGCTGCTGCTGTTGCTGCTGCTGCTGCTGCTGCTGCTGCTGCTGCTGTTGCTGCTGCTGTGCGGCGGCCGCTGCAGCCGCCGCCGCCGCCGCCGCTTCCTTAGCGGACAAGGCCACCGTCTTGACCCCGACGGGCGGCGGCGGCCCGGGGGAGCGGCCGTCCTGGAAGCAGCCGTGCGCTCGCTTCAGCTGACGTGCGGTCTCGATCACAAACTCGATGCGATCGGCGCCCTCGTAGTTGACGCAACCCCGGCACACGGGTTCGGAAAAGTCCCAGATCATGGCCCAGGGCATTCGGGGCAGGTCGCACAGGTAGCAAGACTGTCTCCGGGACGAGGACACCTGCGCGGCCGACATGATGCCAGCCCTGGGGAAGGTAGGCCCCCGCCCGGGCTGTCTCTGCGGCGCCTTCTCCTGCGGGAGGACTGGCTGGCTGGGGAGGGAGTCCGGCTGTGGGGGAGGGACGAGGAGGGGCGAAAAAGTTCTGCCCCAGGGGCTGGAGGGAGCGCGAGTCTCCACCGCCGGCGCAGCGCCTCTCCGCTGGGACTCCACCGCCTGGGCGCCGAACGGGTTCAGCCCGCTCCTCGCCCCCACCTCTTGCGGCAGCTGTCGGGTCGGGCGAGCTCAGGCGCCTTCTTCCTGGTGCCGTGGATCGGGGCTGGAAGCTCCGGGTCCCGGGGGGAGGGGGCTAGGGTACCGGGTGCTGACCGTCGCCGCCTCTCGGCCCCCTCCCCGGATCGGCTGGTGCGTGGACGCTGGAAGGGGGCTGCCGCTTCCTCTCCCCCGGGGGGGCCCCCTAGGAGCTGCGTCCTCTCCCTGCCAGGCACCCCGGGACAAGGGCTAGAGGGCTGTGCCACCCGGTGCCCGGGTCCAGTCTTGCTGAAGCCTCTGCTTCCCGGGAGGGCCGGGGGAGGGGGATGGCAGGCAGAGAGTAGCTTCTCCCCTCCGCAGCGTCGGCCGCACGGTGCGCTGGCGGCGGCGGCGGCGGGGTTTGCACGCCGATGGGAGCCGCCGCGGCCACCGCTTCCAGGACGCAGGAGAGAGCACCGGCGGGCAGCGCACGCACGCACACAGGCAGGCAGGAAGGCAGGCAGCAGGCAGCAGGCAGGCAGGCAGGCAGGCAGGCAGGCTCGCTCCCGCCGCACACCCCACCTCCCGGCCTGGCGGGCTCCTGGGCCGCCGCGGCTGGTGGCGCTCACGTTGGCTGCAGGGCACTCGCGCGGCGCCTCGACCCGAGTCGCATCCCTTCCCGCTCGCGCTCGCCCGGAATGTGGGGTTGTGATTGTTACTCTACGTTCCGGAGGCGCGTCTCGGCGCTCCTGCTCCGGCTGCAGCTCGCGCTGTCCCCGGCTTGGCCGCGCGGGATGCCGCCCGGGCGGAGCGCTGACGTCACCGCCATGCTCTGCACCAGTTTCCCCCCCCCCCTCCCCGCGCGCGCCGCCACCCCCCCCCCTTACACTTCCTCTGTCTGTGGAGCCCACTTGTTGCTCCGGGAGGGCGCATGCGCGGCAGGACGCCCAGATTCCTCCCAGCCGGCCCCTCCTCCGCGCCTCCGCCCTCCCTTCCCCCCCTCGCCGTGTGTGTGTGTACGACAGCTGAAGCCCGGCGAGCTGAGGCTGGAAGTCCAGGACTGTGGGGTGGAAATGAAACAGACTGTGACCTTTCCTTTTCCTGCCCGGCTTTCCCAAGTAAAAACGCATTGAAGAACGCTGAGCGCCGTTTCCGATCCGCGTTTCCCACCTCACCCCACCGCACCCTAGGCCGTGCATTTAAGCATCTTGTTTCAGGGTTTTCGCTGTGAATTTCCTATAAGGCATTACTCATTTGTCTGCGATCAGAGCTCCCCGCCCCAGTGGATGTCACATTCCTTGCCACCACCACCCCCATGCCCAAGATCCTGCAAAAGTATCTGTTTTTCCGTCATCCAGAAATTGTCTTTCAGATTCGTTACTGTGCCTTGGTCTAGGAACCCGAGCCTCGACGATGGCGCTAAAAGAATTCAGGGTGAGCCACCCCTCCCTTGGCTGAACTCTTTTTAAAAAAAAATGTTTTTTGGCTGAAAGTCTTATAGAAGCTACGAGCACCCCGAGGCCTTTAAGGAAAAGCAGGCAACTGGCTGCGCACAGCTGCAGTTGAGGGATGGGAGGGGGAGGTGCTGAGAGGCCGAACAGGTGAGTGGTTTTTCTGGGTTTGATTTAAAAAAAAAAGTTGGGGGGCACAGCATTTAAAAATACCGATAGCTTTTTGTACACCACAGCCTCAGTGTTCAGTTATTTTTCTTCCTTTTCTGACGCGCAGTGATTTCATTCCACACTGCCCTGGTAGGCTGTGCAAGGCCATGATTTCTTTTCCCTGGTAATCACAGCTCATCATTATTGCTCACTGCAGAACAGGTATGTTGGTCATAGCTCTGGTTAGCTCTGGTCGGCGCATTACGGCTGATTCTTCTGTTTATCAGGTCTGCTTTTTGTATTTCATGAAAATTGAGATAATCCCTGGGGGAGGCTGGAGGAGGGGACACCGTATAATGGGATTGGGTTCTGCCCACAGGGTTAGAATTTCCCATTACTTACTGGCTTTGCAACTTGAGCTAGTTATTTATACAACCTCTGTTTTCCTTCTGTAAAACAGAATGATAGCTTCCAACTGGTTAGGGTTGTTCGAGATTTCAATTTGTTTCTTGTCATACTAAGAAGTAACTTATATAAGAAGTAACTCTCAGAGCCAGGCATTGTACGAGGTGGTGGTGTATTTGAATCACTCTTAATATTTGTTGTATTACAGTGTAGATGTAAAATATTAAGGGGTATTAGCTACATTATTAAACCCTTATTATCTACAAGGTAACTTCTATTAGTACAATCTTACCCACTGGGAAAGAGGTTAAATAACTAGCCCTCAGCTATTGGAGGCAAGCTGGGAACTGAAGCCAGTAAATCACAAACTTAGTCTCCAGAGTGTATGGGAAGGTATGGGAAGATGTTGGGGCACTCAAAATTTCCATCTGTACCCCATTCTCCGTTACATAAAATCAAAGCATTCTGCAAATGTACCATCATAACCAACCCTTCCCCTTCCAGATTGTGCCACTGAATTCTTCCTTATTCAGAAGCTGTGGACCTGCTGCTGCCAGACCATAACAAATACCCAGTACAATACATCGAGCACAGTGTTGTGGGATGCATAGGAAGATAATAGTAAGTTGGTTATTATTGGTGTTGATACTGGCATTTGTATTGTAGCTGGCCAACATGTGAAAGAACTTTGTAAAAGTGTGTACGACATGACATACAGATTATTCTTGTCACTGCAATGACCATATCATAATAAAGTTCAGTTGAAGCAATAATAACTACTTATTTTTATTTTGACATTTGACCTCCAGAACCTATTCTCCAATCCAGGAGAGAGAGAGAGAGAGAGAGAAGGAAGAGCCCTTAGGGGAGCCTCTCTTTCATCTCAGAGCAGTCAGATTTCTGTTTGTGCAAAACAGTGAGCTCACTGTGTGCTCCAGTGCAATAATAAACTTCGCCTGGCCTGCTGGCTCTGAGGGATGATTCCTCTGCAGAGAGCTGCTCCGGGCATTGCCTCACACCGTCGGACTCCAGCCTTCCCCACACCACAGCTACCCTAGAGTGAGTCAACACACAGGCTGGGAAATGGCTTGACTGTTCTGCCAGCCTGGAGCTCCTGAGCCTTGGCATGGATGGTTGACCCATTTCTTTACATTATTTATTCAGTCATTCTCTTTAATAAACCCCAAATGCTGGAGAAATAGCAACTTACTCACAAAGCCTCCGGCCAGGCAGCTAGAGAAAGCGTGTTGGATTCTATGTCATAGTGTTATGTTTGGTATGCACACACATATGTCTCCATCTCCCTGGGTTGTCTCCGTCTTCACTGTTAATAAAGGACAGATATAAATACACACTGCATGCTGGTGTACCTTCAGACACACTGCAAGAAATCAGAGTACATTTAAGCAGACTTCCATTGCAGGCTTCAGTCTCATACTTCTTTAATTGAAAAAAACAGAACTGCCCTTCCCCCCCCCAAAAAAAACACATGAGCATCATTTATAGTGATAAACTGCTATTTATTTACTTTCTTATTGGTGCCAGTCTTACGGCTTGAACTCGGAGTCTGGGAATTATCCCTTAGCTTTTTCTGCTCAAGGCTAACATTCTACCACTTGAGCCACAGCTCTATTTGTAGTTTTTTGGTGGTTAATTGGAGATAAGAGTCTCACAGACTTTCCTGCCTGGATTTCAGCCTCCTGAGTAGCTAGGATTACAGGTGTGAGCCACCAGCACCCGGCTAATAAATTGCTTTTTAACTACCTGTCTGAGAGGGCCTTTTTGAGAATGTGTCAGATTGTTGAGCAGCAAAACTGCAGTTATTTTGGAGATGGATTATTTCCCCCCCCTTCCTCCTCTGGCAGCAATATTGTGACCATGTGGGAAGGAATTGAGCTGGAGTTGGTGGGGGCTCAACCTAAGAAACCAGGTGCACACAGAGGCGTAGCTCTGATGTTGAGGCTGGGGAACTACAAAGACGGTAGAGCGAGGCACAAAAATGCCAGCACCGTCTCCCCCAGAGCTCCTTCTCAGTAGCTGTCTCCCCAGCCCGCCCCCTGGGCTAGCATCCTCAGAGCACCCCAACTCTATAAACAGAGGTTTGGCTTTCCATTCAGCCTTTCCGGAGGGCCTTACAGCTCAAATTTTGAGTTGAGAAATGCTACCTAGCGCTAACGCACACGGACGCTCCCAGTACTCTCCTTTTCGCCCTCCTCTGCCCCCAGGCTTGTAGCAGAGATGGGCACGGGGGGGGGGTGCTTTGGGCATGGCATCTCTGCAGCCAGCTGGCTCTGGAGGCCGAGGCTGAACCTCGCGTCACCCGGCTGCAACGCGCGCCGCCAAGCGCTCCGCAGAGAGAAAAGCCTTTTTTGGTCACACTCAGCCAGGGCCCGTAAGCGAAGCCCGATTTCTTGGCCTGAGTGAGAGAGAGGAGAGAGAGAGAGCTACCCGGGTGTAGATGAAAACAAACGTCTGGGTTGGGCCCTCCTCTGGCTTCTGCAAGGCCCGGATCCCAGCGAGCCAGAATTCCCAGCGAAGGTGGCTGGAGCGCAGAGCTTTTGCAGAGCCTATGAGGACAGGGGTGGGGGTGAAGGTGACGGGGGGGGGGGCGAGAATCGAGACTGCGGGGTGATTTACACTTTTACTCCCGGGGCCGATCCGTGGCGGAAGTATTTACCTTTCCCTAAAGAATTAATCCTGGTATTTAAAAAAAGAAAGAAAGAAAAGTATTAAGTTGGGCCAGGGCATAGGGTTACGCAAGAACCACTCGAGCGTAAAATCCCAGGCACAACGTG